CTCTCTCTCTTTCTCTCTCTCTCTCTCTCTCTCTCTTATCTTTCTATACATAATATTTAAAACGTTAACCACTTCTCACACAAGACAAGCGCGCACACATACACATACACAAACATACACATAAAAAACACACACAAATACACAAGCATACACATACACAAAAAGACAAAAAGAAAAAGATAGGAAAAGAAATAGAGAGAGGGTGGGGCGGGTGGAGAGATGTAGAAAATAAAATACACACAGAGAGAGAGAGAGAGAGAGAGAGAGAGAGAGAGAGAGAGAGAGAGAGAGAGAGAGAGAGAAAGTTGATCGGTTTCAGCTAAGATACCTAGTCTGAGACTAGTCACCAGTACGGCAACGTTTACTTTCTTCAACCCCCCTCCCCCCAAAAAACCCCCAACAAATAAAATTTAAAAAACCACACCAAAAAACAACAACAACAACAACAAAAAACATATCTTATTCTGTAATGCTCTCTTCAAAAGAGAGAACCGAAAAATATTGCATGATTGCATGACACTACAGTCGAACCTGTGTAAGACGGAATCTCAAGGGAGCCATCAGAAAAAAAGATTCCGTCATATAGACATATTCCGTGTTAGTAGACAGGGGGATTAAGTTTCTAAGGTGGAGATAAAAGGGAAGGGGATGGGGAGGGGGGGGGGTCAGAGGCCCAGCCGGTGGGATCAAGGGTCAACAATCCGGTCGGCAAGCAGTGGTCAAAACTTCAGCCCCCTCCACAGAATTCTACACTTAGTGTAGAATTCTGTGGCCCCCTCAAATGCTATCATCTCTGACAATAGCATGCGTCAGTCCTATTATCCATTGCCACAAGAGCTTGCATGTCATAGGACCGCTGTTTGACCTATTAGAACAGAGAACCGTTTGAAAATCTCTTTTTCTTCCACCTAGGCCTGCGCCTAGGCTTTCACCTGTAGCCCCACCCATTAGCGTAATAAGCACCGCCAACCAATGCTATCTCTCACGTGCATACAACAACTATTCGAGGAACTTTTTTCTCGGCTGGCCGAACGATCAGGGCAGCAGGCATTGGTCAAAATAATTTCACACCTCTGACCTCTGATTACCCACGAAAGTATCATGCTGGAGCTCGCTGGAGAGCCACTCTGGCATTTTCACGGGCATTGGTGAGATTTCATACCCACACCACCCTGACCATCTGCACCGCTAAGGACTTACATGGATGGGGTAACTTCTACCCTCAAATTGCACCCTTACTCCCCTTCCTCGCCTGACGGCAAGGTTTTGAGAGGCGATGATACTAGCTTTGACTTTGACAGTTTTATTTCAAATCAGGACTGAGTGGGCAAAGCATTTTCCGTTTTAGACAGGTGAAAACCCTCCGAAGGAAAGGGCTTCCTCTTGCTCTTTCTGTGTTAGACAGATTTCCGTCCAATGGAGGTAATTATAGAGATATATTTTTCAAGGGGGGGGGGGGGGGTTCCTTTATGACAGGTTTCCGTCTTATACAGGTTTCTGTTAAGGCACGGTTGGACTGTATTTTGCTTTTGTACACTGTAGTCTTACTCACCATAATTTTTGTAATGGACTTCAGTTTGAGTCTGACGTTCATGTCCGTCATCGCTCGGAATCTGGCATTGACCTGCGGATTAGACAGGTGGAATTTTTCAACATTTTGTCACACTTTTGTTCTTCTTTCTTTTCATGAGTGTGCACACATGCGTAAGGTATCGTGGTGACATCGGGCGCTCGTCAAAATAATGAAATCGAAGAAACTGGTGTTTTTCCATTCGTTCCGCAGTTTTGATAGAATTTTTTTTCTGGGCGTAGCACCTTTTACTTTCATGTCCATTCAAAAACACATATTAGTGTGGATTTTACTGAAAACTGTGGACTAAAGACACAAAAAATGTAAGTTTGCAGTTTCCAAGGACTTTCATTCTTTGAGAATTATCACTCTTTGGCGGTCATTTTCTCGCCAATTTTACCCCTGAAACCAGGCGACCCCCACCTCCTTCAGTCGCAAATATCTCGACTTCTATTCAAGATAGATCTTACTTTTTTTTATATCGATAACCAGACGAACACGCTTTTAAGATGATACCAATAACTCCAAATGTCAAAAATTGACGAGCGCCTGATTCCTCCACGTCGTGACACACAATCACATGTTCTTGTCTGGACAAACATCTGTTTGTCAGTTTAGTAAGGTGACTCACGACAAGCAGGTAAATACTTTTCTTGCGTTTCTTTTTACCTAATTTTCCAAGCATCAGAGCCAAAGAGAAGCTTCCTGCCGACATTTCCCCCTGTTTATGAATAGCCACGATTATTTTGTGCTTGTGGTCGCCCTTTTACCAGCAACCCATACAACAAAATTAACAGTTCTTTTCCTTTTGTGGCACGATAAAAGTAGATCTAGATCAAGATCTACACGTAATACACATTGCTCCTGAGACTTCCATTCAAACAAAACAAAGTGGGGTCGTTTGTCTCGTGAGTACTTTACACGAATTTTCCCAATTTCCTCAGTTCTTACAGTGTTGAAAGGCAACTGCAGTGATTGGGGGTGTTTTCTTGAAAAAAACCACCCAACAAAATCTTTTTAAAAAAAATCCCACCAACAAAACAGCAATGGTGTGTTGACTTGAAAAAAAACACCTGCAATGGCTTGTTAATTTTCTTCAATAAAAAATAAAACAAAACAAAAAACCCTGCAGTAATAGATCTAAAGGTTTTCTTGAAAAAGAAATCTGTAATGATTTGCGAATTTTCTTGAAACAACAGCAAGTGTGTGTTTTCATTAACAATACACTGCTATTATATGTCGTGTTATTTCTTGGGGGTAAAAACCCAGAAACTACAATGGCTTGTGAATTTTCAGTCAGAAGAGTCCACTTACCGACTGCCAGAAATGTAGCAGGAACACTTGCAGGGTCTTCCAGTCGTAAACAAATGCCCGGTACGTCCGCGCATCCACGATCGCCATCACCTGGAACAATAGTGTGCTTCAAGCTTACGTGTTGGTTAAAGTAATTACAGTGCTTGCAGCCGCATAGCATAGTATAGGGATTAATCTCTCTCTCTCTCTCTCTCTCTCTCTCTCTCTCTCTCTCTCTCAGTGAGGCACAGTTCTCTTTCAGTGTGGTGT